CTTTGCAAAGTTATCTAATATGTCTGCTCAAACATTTACAATGGATATTTATTAATCATACGTACTGTTTCTCCTAAAATATGTTTGTAACCTTATTAGGATTTTAGTCCAAGTGAATTGATTTCGTAAATATGTTTCTCTGCATGGTGCAGTGAGTAGAATACTGAGCAGTTACCTGCTCTGGGGGAAAGAAGATCTAGCTGACATAGCGAAAATATTGTGCCAGGAATTTCTGTTGGATGCACTATTTTATTGCGACTTGACCTAGTGTATGTCCAATCCATTTTATTTTATCAGGAATGCAATCCTTGTTATCTAGCAGGGAGAAATCGATAATATGTACAACTAAATCCATTGTTTCTTAGTCCAAGATTTGTAATGATTTATCCCACGTGTGGAATGTCTCGTTGTTAGAATTTGCAGTCCATCTGATTTTATTACTACGAATTGTTCTCCACTTCGACTTCATACGAGAAATTTCATGGGATCCAACTTCGTAGAATATTTTCTATCTTCTGCATATCAATTATCAGTCAAACGGACACAAAAATATCGGTTAGCCCGATTTAAGGTAGCAAGGACATTGTAGTTCTATTTTTTTTCCTGTTATTGGGAATCTTCCTATGTCTAAAAAGCACGACCCTTGCAAAGTTATCTAACATGTCTTCTGAAAGATTTACATTGGATGTTTATTAACTTATGCTTCCTCTACTATCGAATCATGGCAGAGCTGAAATGTCTCCCAAAAAAGGATCCAAGCATTCCCTCAAGTACACTGAAGGTTCCAGAACTAAGAAACTTATAAGTCACAACCAACTACAATAAGATCTTGTTGTGCACCTTTGGCAACTTCATAGCACTTGATTCTTATGCTTTATTTATGTTTTACTTGGATTAGTTCCTTTGGACTGTATATTCTATTTCCGTTTCAGTGGTCAATTTGAATACATTAAGTTTGATATGTTCTTGAATTGTGTGTATTTGAATTCTCATGTTTTGGGTTAATATTTTATGAAAATGTCTGTTCAAATGAAGTTTTATGCAAATATTTGAAAAAACTGCAAAAGAACATTCTTGGGTGGTGGACTAGCCGCAGAAAAGTTTAATTCCTCAAAGGAAATGGGGGATTAATGGATGGAGGATCCAATAGAGATGCTAGATACGTCTCAAACATATCTACAAATTTTGATTATTACATGCCATATTTATATCAATTTCGCATAATTTCGTCAATTTGGCCGGTCGTCCACGTATAATCGACCCAATGTGTGGTCTCCTCGACTGGTCGTGGATCTTTCTGTGTCGAGATGTTGTTAGCATTTCTCAATAGATATCAATGAATTTGCGTCTGACTGCGTGGATATTACTCTTTTGTTCTGATGATGACACGGTTCTCTAGTGGCAGAAACATCGGCGGGCCATCGACATTTGCGGGTTGGAGGATTCCCTGACGGCTAGGTTCTATTTTTCTTTTTATTTCAATTTTTAGGGGGCTTTATCATTTATGCCACTAGTAGTGTCTCAATACTTAGTTTTGTAATTAAAAGTTTCAACTGCTCAAAAATGCCATTGTTGGGTGAGATGCTTGCTAAAAAATGGCATTAGACACCTAAAAATGCCATTGTTCCATTAGATGTTTGCTCAAAAATGTCATTAGACATCATTACTTTCAGGGTCAAACCCGTTGATCATGTTATAAGACCAAAATGACCTTAGACCCGCATGTCAGCTCTCTTATCTCATAATAATAAGTGTGGCTCCACCTTGTCAAGAGTAAGCAAATGAACAATTTTAGGGGAAAATAAGAGTGTTGTTCGGGATCAAGTGGGACCCAGGCTTTGAGCTGACAGTAATGGTATTTAGTAGTATTATCGTCATGAGATAGAGAGAGATCTGACATGTTAGTTCACAGGTTTTTGGTCATATAACATGGTAAACAGGCTTTGAGCTGATAATAATGGTGTTTAGTAGTATTTTTTTAGCATGCGTCTAAGGGAGCGATAACATTTTTGGGTTCAGTGGTATTTCTTATAGCATGTGTCTAACAGAGCGATGATATTTTTTAGCAGTTGAAATCTGGGACACAAGTAGTGACATAGGTATTATAAAACCTTTTTCTTAATGTTGGTGTCCGTATTTGATTACACAAGGCTTCAGCTCCTTCGAAGAAAATACGATTACTTGTCTAAAAATGAAAAAATCTTGAGATTGGGAAGCGGCTTTGTTGTCAAGAAGTAAGTGCACCTGCTGCTGACTGTCCAACGAACCCATTTTTTATATTTCTTTTTTTGGAAAAGGAGGCTTGCCTCTGGCCTCTATATCTCAGCGATGCATGCAGTCATCTTATTAAAAGTCTCGAAAAGAGCACAAGGTCTTAGATTCATTACAGCTCGCAAGCGGAGCAAAAAAGTAAAAATAAAAACTCAATACCACAATCGGTATGTATAATAAGACAAGATCATTAGACTCCTATCCTATTATGAGACTGTCATCCAAACCGGTTGAATATAGTCTGTGCTACCAGCTCTCATTGGTTGCATCCAATAACCAAAGGCTCCCTGGAGTCCATAAGAGTGAGTAAGGACCACATACGGATCCATGCCATAACTCTGAAGATGACCTGCAAAAAGTTTAAGATGTGTTGTCTGTTAAAAATCATGTCGGTTTTGGAAATGAAGAGAAGAGTTCTGATTCCCCACGGTCCGTCTGTTAGCCCAGAACTACTCGCTAGCAGTCGAGTATACCGATAGACGACCGGTGGATGAGCACACACACACGTACTACTCACACACTCACTAGTGTATCACACACACACACGTAGTAGTAGTCGTAGTACACAGCACTTGAGGATTTGGAGCACACACGGTGGTACTAGAAGGAGGAAATGCCTGGTATTGCAAACTTGGAATGGCCTGAGTTACAACCGGGTGGAGTGGTGCTCTTTATATAGCACTTACAAACCGACCTACTGTTCTAATTGATCTAAGCACATACGTCATATCCTATGACACGTTACTGCTTACATCTAGCATTTGCTTAGCTACTAAGCTACGGCAACTGAAATAACTTCTCTCCTTTTTACTGCTGCCGCTGGTGCTGCATGCTGCCGACATGCCCAATACTTCCTAACAAAGTATTTGCTGCTGCTGCCGCTGCATGCATGCCTCGGAGACAAGGTTTGACCCAACACCGTCCACCAATGGAGACACCCTCACCCTGGAGCCGCTCTTCCGGTCCAAGGCCGCGGCAGGAAGGCCCGTGCGTGCGCTCGTGCTACCGTGATGGGGGCCGACCGCAGCGCTCTTCTCGCAGCCATGCGCGGTGGACGTCGTCTGCCGGAACGTCTACGTGGGGCGCGTTGGACTTGCCCGTCCTGGACGTGGCTGGAGGACGTGCCGTCGTTTGCAGCGGCGCCGAACGGGGGGAGTAGTATAAGCTGTCGTGGAATCGGTGGTGGAGCAGCTCGAAGGTTGGAGGACGCCACCGACATCTTTTCGAGATACTCCGCCGCCGACGTCTTCGTCGACTTGTTCGATGAACTTCAGCCAACCATCACCTTGCTCGCGCCCGCAGCCTGTTTGCTGTCTTGCTCAAGTAAAAGTTGGATAAAAATATTTTCACAAACCGATTCTCTGTGAACACTTTTGTTGCAGTTGGTTGATCTGTCCACTGAGGTATTGCCAACAGCGATACAGCAGTAACATTCACATCTGTCCAGTGATTTCATCTAACCGTAGACACTAATGATTAATTAACCACACCACTTCTTTTCTGTGGCTATAGATTGAACTCACTGGGAAGTTTGTCCCTCGGAAAGTACCCACCAGCAAGGAACTGTCCTGGCGCTTTGTCATATGCTGAGATTTTTAAAGAGTAAGTAGTTGCACTAACCAATTCTCTCCAGTGAAATGATAATGTTTTCTGTAGTTGTAAGTACTCCTTGAATGTAAAGCGCCTACATTTCAATGTTTATTTTGATCAACAATTAGTTCACCATATCTAGATCATGTGATACAAATATGGTACCGTGGCGCTTCAGAAATATATAGATTAGATGATACCAAATTGCTACAATTGGGTTCGTATCTGAACAGACTGTCCGACCTTACAAATTGCTTACTACATAAGCTACATATTGTTCAACTGATTGTTTGTGAAAGATAAATCTTCAAAAATGTGAACACGCCTCAATTAAATTTCCTGAAGGAAAGGGTACTACAGTACATGATACATTCAGTATTTAACAAAAAAAAGGTACCAACCGTAATATCATGCTCTTAGCACCTGACAGCAAGTGCCAATTGTGCCTGTTCATGAGCATTAATTCATTCTTAGGAGGAGTAACAGAGATATTTCCAGTCGAAACATAGGAATATGCAGTGAAAATCATTACAACATGATCTCGATTCCAATTTGCTTGAGTTCCTGACATTCTCATCCATGTGTACTTCCTCCAACAGTTCAGGCAATGTCTCCTTGTCGTGGACGCTTACCAATTCTTTGCCAACACGTGCTCAAAAAGACGTTGCAGCTCCCAACCTGCAGAAGTGATATCAGGATGGTGTCAACTCATGATTCACCAAATTTGCGCAACACTAACTGGAAGGGATATTTACCTGGACGGTATGTACGCATTCTGATTTGCTTTCTGGCTTGGGTATTCCTGACATGATCAAACAATGCATGAGGGAAGTTTCAAGCAAGACAATAGATTACTTTACACATATAACATAAGAATGACGAATGAAAAAAAACTGGATAATTAACATTTCTGATTTGGATCGAATAAATGAGAAAATATTTGTCGAAAAAGATCGCATGATCATGAGAAATGATTGGCCAGCAACTGATTGTGCTCTTTAAATTACCAGATAATAATTGATTCAAAACATATATATCAACATGTGAGCTGGTGCAAGATGAAAATACAATCTTTCCAGTAGGTATGTTTTCTAGGTGAGAAAATTGTACCTCAAGTACCGCAAATTTTTTCACTCATCTTATAACATCTGGTTTGGATATTTCCTTGTGATCTCTAGTGTTGGATGGTTGGGGTGTATCCGAGACATGCTCCTGATAGCACCCTCAGTAGCCTCCACAGCTGCAGCTCTCACACCACGGCAATCTATGGTGACATGGACGGTATCAAGTGAAGATAGGTGACAAATGCCAAAGTCGAAACCACCAGCACCGCTATCAGCAGAGTTGAACTTTATTGAACGGATAGAGAGGCAAAACTCCACGAGCTTCGGCATAGCCCCGGATTCAAACATCAGATCATTGCATTTGATCACAAACTTCTGCAACTGTTGAAATCCTCTGTCAGTGACGACGCAGGTTCCACACACATCCAGATTGAATTCAACCAGAGTAGGTATATCTCCAATCATTTGAAGATCCTGCTGCTCTATCACGGCAACATAGATAGTTAACTTCTGTAGGTTGACAAGTGAGACCAGCCATTTTGTCATCCAACATATCTCTCCACCGTAGAGATGAATATCTTGAATGCTATTTAGAGAAGGAATGAAAGGATTGTCTCCTAGGTGCCCATCCTTTTCTCCTAAATCTAAATAGATACATAGGGTACGGAGGTTGCATGCATCCAGTTTACAGAGGGAGGACACTAGGCTTTCCTTGTGACCAAATAATTTGCGGCCTTCTATCTCATCAGCATCCCAATTAATCGTCAGTGTTCTCAGCTTTGTCAGTTCACTAAGCCCGTGCACAAACTTCAGTGATTGCTTCAGGATGTTTACGTTCCAAAGTGCTCGCAAGTTCTTCATGTTTCCTATCCCATCTGGCAATCTAGTGAAACGTGAAACAGATAGATGCATCAATCGTTGAAGCCGATTAATAGTTTCGGGCAGCTCATCGAGAGAATCACTAAATGCATTTAGTGTCTCTAGGTACTGCAAATCTCCTATTTGCCCTGGTAGCTCAGATATTCCTGTATCATAGATGTTCAAGTACCTCAGCTGAGAGAATCTTCCAATATTTTTCAGATGATGGTCTTTCAATCCACGGCACCCTTCCAAGTCCAACACACGGAGTGCATTTGATTTCAGAAAGAAAGGTACTTGCTTGCCAAAACCATACCCAAAAGTACTAAGTGATCGAAGATGTGATAAATCCAACTTATTTGGTTTAATCCCATTTCCTTGTTCACCATCTCCCATTAGGGAGAGCCGACGAACTTTTCTATCTGAAAAATGTGTGAGATTGGAATGATTGCCTAACAAGGTACAAAAGCCCTCATCAGCAGACTTGGAAATTAGGAAATCAAGGATAATATCGTGGACTCGACAATAACTTGCCTTGCCATCATATCCTATTTGAACTGGCTGTATTAAACTTCTATTAACAAGCTCATGAAAATATCGATCTCCTAACTCGACAATATCTTCCCCATCTTCCCTGCAAATAAGACCCTCTGAAATCCATCTGTGCACTAAGCGCTCCCTTTTGATCTCGTAATCTTCAGGAAACAGAGTTAAGTACAACAAGCAACTCCTTAAATAGTGAGGAAGGTCGAAGTAGCTCAGAGATAAAATATAATTCATTGCCTCTATTTCAGAACTTTTGTCTTTTGCAAATTGAATAGAACATCGCACCTGATCCCACCCTTCTTTAGTTTGCCTGGTGGCCAACAAACTAGATATAGAATTGATGGCCAATGGCAAACCACCGCATTTTTTCAAAATATCTGCCGATGCTTCTTTCAAGTCAAAAGGGCAGTCCTCTTCAGAACCAAATATTCTCTTGTAAAATAACTTCTTTGAGTCATCTTCATTGAGTGGTTTCATTCTATAGATAAGACCACGAACAGAAGAGCAGCATGCTCTAGCTACATCATTAACACGTGTTGTGGTCATTATTCTACTACCACATTTGTTCTTGAATAATGCACATTCCAAAATTTTCCATGTCGGTACGTCCCATATATCATCCATCACTATAAAGTACCTGCATTATAGTTTTCAAAAGTCATACAGTTGACGTTATTGAAGCAGTGTTCATAGCATATCTGCAGTGATTTTGTACAAGACTGTGTGCTTGGCAAGTGTACGTCGGTCAATACTAGTATAGATCCCTCCTCTTTTGTACGAGAGATAAATGTTTTCTTGCTCGTTTGTAGTCAGAACTAGAAAAGATGCATTGCCTTTAACTTGTACATTGCTTAATGCATATAACATATGCAATATTTCTAAATAAGTTGCGACTTTTGAGTGGCTTTGTGATAAACGTTGCATGCTAGAAAAACTGGTCCTAGGTTTCTAGCACATAAAGAAGCCTTATCTCAAAGGTATTAAGATCTAAAATATCACAAACATAATCAAAACAAGAATATCACAGACAACAGTGTATTCATGCTGCAGATAGTTCCGTTTGACAAGGTTCTGACAGAGAGGATAGGTTCGTTTATTCATGTTTTATTTGGATCTACGTTGTTCAAACAGGAGGTGTGGTGTGCTTTCTTTTTCTTCTTCTTTCATGTAGTTGTGGTGAGCTTCTTTTCATTCTTCTTTCTTGTACTGAGTTGGCAAACTTGTGACAGTTAATTTATACAATGTGAAAAGTGTGGAACAATACTTTGGCATACAATAAGTTACAGTGCGTATCATTGATAGTTGACATTTGTTGTGAATAGGAAACATTTCCAAGTTAAGATGAGGTAGAAATGTTCAAAAAACAGAGAATATGAACATAATTTATATAGGCCCATTCTGTAAATAGATGAGATCATATATGCATGCTGTCAAACTTCTCCAACTTTTAACGCATAATATATTTTAAAATATTAAAATTGGTGAGATGAAAATAGTATTATTATAATCATAAAGAAAAACATTTAATACTATAATAATGTTTTTACCAATATATTAAGATATATTTTTTTAGAAATGGAGGAGGACCCCCGGCCTCTGCATCTGGACGATGCATGAAGCCACTTTATTAATTATTCACACAAGACCTTATAAAGTCATACAACAGTAAGACTGAAGCCACCGTCTAAGCAACAAAAGTGTCGCTACTCCTATCCAATTGATGAAGGGATGCTGATAGTCTGGGATTAATACCAAACAGACCTCGTGGTCAAACCTAACATCTAAGACCTGAGGTCCCAACCAGGATGCCTGCCGGGTATGGGCACCCACCAGTCCGACGTGCTCCTCAACCAGGACGCCTGCCGGGTATGAGGCCGCCGCAGCCATCTGCCACCAATCCATCTTCAGAGTTGTACAGCTGCATCTACCTTGCCCGGTCTAGGTGTCGCCGACGCCAGACAGTGTCACCCTCCTGCGCAAGTCCATCTCCGCTCATCGGGCGCCGAGTCTCCACTGCGCCACGCCGTCGAGATCCGCCGTCATCAATGGACAAGATGAAACACCGCTCCTCCTCTTGTCCCCTCCAACCAGCACTTGCTCAAAAACGATGCCCCAGGAGAGAGAACGACACCGAAGGCACCGTCATCGCCGATCCGGTAGACCCAGATCTAGGGTTCCCCCCGAAACTTCCCGATCAGGTTGACGTGCTGCAACGACGATGTCTCCAGAAGGTAACGACGCCCGAGATGCCGCCACCGTCCGCCAAGACCGCAGTCAGGCGCGATTTTCACCGGAAGCCACGTATTCCCGACCTCACGGCTGGCTGGAACCGAGCGGAACCTCGCCCCGAAGACGTACGTCGCCGTCGGTACTCCTGAAGAGATCCGGCATCTCCTCACCGGCCCCTCCACGCGCCGCCGGTCGGCGGAAGGCCTCCCCGCGACAGATCCAATCGAGGAGTTGGATCTGCAGTCACCGTCGTCTCCATCCCGACCAGAACAGCCCACCCGCCGGATGGGGTATATATCGGTCAAATTTACATATGTTGAAGAATGTGGTCATATTAAAGCTATTATCTATTTAGGAGGCTACTACGGGATCTACAAGTAAAATTGCAATTTAATATCAAAAGGTTACACAATTATTAATTGTAGATAACAAGTGTACCCATTTTTTCAAGTATACCGAGAACAGTGTTTCGTGAAATAATACAAACAAAGTTATAAATATCCTAGTACTATATGATAATTACATACCTTTTGTTTTCCAGGAATTCTCTGATATGGCTGATTATGGTTTGTTGATCCCCTAATAACCGATTATCAGTCTCTCCATTGCTGATTTGAGATAAGATAGAACTCAAAATCTTGTTCATGTCAGGATTTTGTGAAATCGACACAAAAGCCCGACATTCAAAGCTTCCTCCGAGCTTGTGATAGGCTTGGTTAGCAAGAGTTGTCTTGCCTAGACCCCCATATCCAACAAGAGAGACAATTTTTAGCTGATTTGCTGATTCACTCTCCTCGCTCAGGTACCTCACAAGCTCATCTCTTGGGCCGTCTATTCCAACAAGCTCAGAAGCATCTTTGAAAAACGCCAGAACTCGAGGGTCAACTTTTACATTGCTAGGTTTGGAGGAGGAACCATAGATAGTGTACCTTTAATTACCAAGCATTATCCCCGCAAAAAAAATTACCAAGCATTATAATGTATTATCATATATTAAACAAGATGACATACTAAGAAATATTTAAACAAGATGTCATAGTAAGAAATATTTAATACAGAATCTGCCATTTCATACCTTGCATATCTCTCACTCACTTCCTTGACTTGGCCCTTGATGTGTTTGAGCTCCTTTGCAATCTCATAGTGAATCTTGATATCTGTTAATTTTCCCTTGCACTTGCTAATAAGCTCCTTGAAGCTATTACCTGTACAACTGGACGCAGGTTCGACGAGCAGCATGAACTTGTCGATGCTGTCCTCAATCTCAAAGGACAGGTCTCTCACTGCCTTCACACGGATCTTGGACTGCTCGTCGGGCTGCTCCACGTCTGACATGACAAGGAGGAAGGCATACATGGCCTCGAGCTCTTTCTTGAGGAACTTGATGTCACCACGGACACCTTTGAGCAGCTTGTATTCGTCCCCCAGCATAGCAGCTAACTTTGCCAGGACGGCACCCATTGCTCCTATGGATGTGCTCACCAGAACGCCAGCCATTGTTGCCCAGCTTACTCTGGTTTTCACTCTGTTTGTCTTTGTTAGCTACAGACTGAGAAATGCAATGCTGGCTCCTTCCTTACATAGTCAAGAAAAAAAAAGTCACTGTGCTATGCTGCCATCCAGCGTGCCGCTTCAGTTGACCATTTCAAGATCTGGATCTGTTTCTACTTCCGAGGCTAGCAGCACATTGGGCTTAATTATCAACTATGAAGAAGAGAGCACTGGCTGGCATAAAATATGAAGTATATCTCTTCTACGCATTTGCGTCACATGTATGCACATGCTTATTGTCGGGGTTTTCATCGGCAAATGGTATGAAAAACAAATCTCCAATTTCTATACTACTGCACATGTGCTGGTACATGCGCCATTGACTTTACAGTTCACACCCTTAGGTTTGCTTCTTGAGAGCATCGTCAACTGTCACATCAAAAGTTGTTAACTAGAAAGAGCTGCAGCCTTCGGTACTCAAAAGCCTTTTGTGCTTCATCATTCTCGGTAGTTACATAAATACCAATCAAAAGTTGCAACTAATTTATAAGCACATTTGTAATCAAGACCTAGAAGTAGAGAATATTCACAAACACAGTTCTGGCAACTAGCAATTTAACTAATGTAATAGTTGCACTAGTATACCCTACTAAGGGCATCTCCAATGCTGACCCAAAATTTTGCTCCGGCATCTGTCCCCGGACAGGGTAAACCAGCATTGACGCGGGAACCAGCCATTCAATGTTGCCCGCATACATTTCAACCACTATAAGAAGTAACCAGATGAAATTCATGCAAACACGACATATTTCATATAAGCTGGACAAAATTCATTAAATTCTGGACATTTTGTAACTAAAAACTACACCAGTCTATGGGTGGTGCCGGCGGATATACATTCCCGCAACACGGATAACCTTGACCGGCCACGGCGGATCTCCATTATCTTCCCCTTCTCCGGCATCCCACTGATCCGATTGCCATGAGCCACGGAGGTATAAGCTTCGGCAAAAAGGGCGGCCCGCTTCCCCATATTCGACAGCGCTGCTCATCGGAGTGAAACAATCGGGATGTGCTTCAGCCGGAGGGGAAGTGGACGACGGTGGCTTGCCACTGCGCAAGACACCAACTGTGTACACCGGTGTCGCCTCGGCGGTGGCCTTCATGGGACCCAAGCGGCAGCAGCCTCCCATGTTATACTTCTCCTCAATGATGGAGGCGGGCACGAACGTGCGGGACGCAGCCTCGTCGGTCTCCGCGAAGCTGGATTCTTTCTCTGTCGATAGGGCACGGTCACGCAAATATTGATGGTGGATGGCATGGTTGCAGGCACCGGAGGTGCGGTGCAACATGGCGTCGTCCATGGCAGCCATGACGCATGTGCCACCTTGGTTCCCCGCGTGCCAGCCTGGAGCAACTCGCTACTTCTTGACGAGCAGGCTTGGAGCGGCGAGTTACTGAATGACGCGCCGGATTGGAGCTTTTGCCTCGTGAGCTGGCTGCAGCTGCTTGGAGCGTCGAGGGAGGTGGAGCAGAGAGTTTCCTTGCTCATATCCGGCGGGTTCGACAGGCCACCCAGACGGCTTTTATGTCGGAGAACTCGTCTTTCTGCTAGCCGGATGCCATGGAGATTGTGGATAAAATAGTGTGCAAGG